GCATGCATGTAATCCCAGCTACTCAGGAGGCTGAGGCAGGAGAATTGCCTGAACCCAGGAGGCGGAGGTTGCGGTGAGCCGAGATTGTGCCATTGCACTCCAGCCTGGGTAACAAGAGCAAGAGCAAAACTCCGTCTCAAAAAAAAAAAAAAGTCATTCTGTTTTCTGACCTGGAGTGCCACCCTTCCTCCTTTCCACCTAACTAAACGTTAATACTTCCTTCACGACCTAGTTCAGGTACCCTTCCACCTGAAATGACTCCGTAACTCTTTTGGCCCAAGCTCATCTTTCACTTTCCTGGCCTTCTATAGCACTCACTCTCCATACCACACAGTGAGGCACAGTCATATCCTACTTTCTTTCTTTCATGTGATCCTCATTTCCCAGTAAGACTGCATGATTCCCAGGGTACAGGGAATATGACATACATTTCTTTTGTATGTCTAAGAATCTTGACTACAGGCACATGTTAAGATGAATGGAGGATATCACAGCTACTGAGAAAAAAAGTTCCAGCACAAAAATTCAGGTTTAAGCAGCTTCAAGTCCCCTGCCCACCACAGGCAATCTAGAGCCACGCTTGGAAGATAGATGGTGCAGGCCTCCACGTTGAGCTACAGATTCAGGAACTCAGCAGGAGCAACGGGAATAACTGACAATAACACTAAAGCAGAAATGACCTTCTCAAAGTCTGAACTTAATAGCTGAACATGTAACCCAAGAAACTTTCAAGAATCCAGAAAAATCAGTATTTATTCACCAAAGGTTTGTGAACTAAGTTGACCTGGCAAAGGCCTCAGCCATCATCCTTCTTAACCTCATTCTGATTTTGTACTGATTCCTCTCCCTACATTTGCTCCATACCTTTGATGCCTCCCCACATTTTTGGAACTGCAGTCCTTATTTTGCCAAAGAGAGTAAGTAAATGAAAGGAAAAAAAATTACAAAATTAAAATTTTAGTTTTAAGCATGACTCAGGAAAGTTGTAGGAGGTCAGTGGAAGAGATGATTATAAAGCAACCTTCTTACAAAATAAAATGCCAGGCTTCTGTGTTGCTTTATGTCTTATTTTCTAACTGGCCAGTCAATCTTATCAATGACCCTTGAAAGAGAAAGGGAAGTAGTGAAGAGTCAGGTCTTTCACACTGAAAGCAAAATACAGTCTGTGCAATCACTGACCCTGCTTAGGGAACAGCTCCTGGAATTCTCTTCCTCTAGAGCTGATAGCCAAGGCCCTGACCTGCTTGTGCCTACCATGAAGAAAGCAGCTTTTCCATTCTGAAGCACCCACTCATGAATACCTAGAGGGTTAGATCCAGAACCCAGACTCTGTTCAAGTATCTACCTACCATTTTGATAAGATTCAAAGGAAACAAGAATCCATGGAAATAAGGATTCCATTTTTTCCTCCATTGGGATTTTTCAGAAATTAGGCTAGCTTCCATAATGATAATCCCATAAAGACAGAAAAACCTTAATCCTTTCAGTTCCACTACACTATGCACAGTTCTGGTTAGAAGCTTTCCCCAAAGCTCACATCTGCAGTGCCAAAACATAAGAAGTGACATAACCACTACAACTTTACATTTGTCCATTTGTTCTACAATGTACAAAATACTTCACATTCTGTCTATGATCTTACAATAATCTTAAGAGGTAGACATAGTGAGCATTAAGTCTATATCTCAGAAGGAAAAACTCACTTCAGAAAGGTTATATGACTTATACATGGTAAAATTACTCTGACTAGGAATCAGAAGACTTGGATTTGCTTCCTGCCTCTACTCAATACCTTTGTTCATTGAGTAAGAGCTGTGTAAACCTTATACATATGCTTATAATGTTGATGTTAACTGTTGCTGAAAGCACTCTATAAATTATGAAATCCTACGTTAATAAATGAATAACAACTCTGTGACTCCTAAGCCAGCAGCCAGCACTCTTTTTTTGCTGATCTCAGTTTTCAATTGTGGCAGGGCTTCACATACGTACACACACACTCTCTCTCAGGCATCAGATCTTGTTGAAAGCTACAACGCTGATGCTCTATACATGCTCTTAAATTTGGTAATCTCCTCTTCCAGCAAGTTTGTCCCCACCTTCTTGTCCACTACACACTGAATCTGCAGCTTCCAGGTACCGTAGCCCACGGGCACCAGCTTGAAGGTCCCCCAAGACCAGCCCATACAGCTGGATGGAGCACAAACAGGCCTCCAATTGGGCTATGTTGGTCTCAATGTCCCAAGGCTTGACGTCCAGCAGGATGGAGGACTTGGCCACCAGCGCAGGCTTCTTGGCCTTCTCCACATACTGCCACAGCCACTTCTCTCGCAGCCAGGCTGCCTCCCTATCTTCCTCCCCATTGTTACTGCCAAACAGGTCAATGTCATTGTCCTCGTCACCCTCTGCTGGTATGGCTGCCTTCTTGGCTGGGGGCTCCACTTGGCACATGGGAGACACATGCTGGGTCTGCGCTGCTTGTGTCCCTGTGGCCGAGCAAGCTCTTCTCCAGCATGTTCAGCCATAGGCCAGCACTCTTTTCCCCACACTAAGTTGTCAGACCCATAGAGAACTAACTCCCATTAATAACACACTGTGAGCGGATGACTGCTAAAGGGACACTGTACATCACGGCCTGCAAAACTATCCTTAGGCCCTAGCCACACAAGGAATGTACCACACATCTAAGAATGTTCAGTCAGCTCTAATAATGCTATAGGCTTCCATAGACCCAATATACAGAAAGAAGAATACAGAGAATGCTCCTAGTATATGTACTCCTAGAATACAGAGAATATAGAATCCACTTCCTATAAAATAGTTAATAGGGCTGGGCGCGGTGGCTCAAGCCTGTAATCCCAGCACTTTGGGAGGCCAAGGCAGGAGGATTCTTGGGTATTCTATCCTGTGACTCTTTATAACCTGCCAATCTCGATATTGCTCTCTCAACTGCCAAACCATAAAAATCAGAAAAGGGAGGAGGTCAAGAGATCAAGACCATCCTGGCCAATATGGTGAAACCCCTTCTCTACTAAAAACACAAAAATTAGCTGGGCATGGTGGCGTGCACCTATAGTCCCAGCTACACGGGAGGCTGAGGCAGGAGAATTGCTTGAACTCGGGAGGCAGAGGTTGCAGTGAGCTGAGATTATGCCACTGCACTCCAGCCTGGCGCCTGGTGACAGAGTGAGACTGTCTCAAAAAAAAAAAAAAAAAAAGAAAATAGTTAATAGCTCATTGCCCATGTACTTCCATAATGGCTGCTTATTTGTTCTCAAATGCATTCTTTTCAAATTAGTTACCAAGCTTGTTTACTTAGGAAAGAGGATGTCTCAAGTCTTGCCAAGCAGAGGTACTAAATTAGGTTTTTCGGTTCTTCCAGGCCTCAACCCCCAAACAATCCTGTTAATGAACCCACAGCTCCTCTGACTTTCCTTACTGGGTCAAGCTTGAGCCCCATGAAGCTGTGCCAGTCTCAACTCTCCCTTGTAGCCAGCACTGCCATTCTCATATTTAAAGGCTGTTTACCTCTGCCAGCACCATTCCACCCATGAATAAACAACCTTTCCAGCTAGCCAAAATACTTAGTTTCTTTCAACTGGGACTCCACAATTTGAATCTGTAATCCAATTTGACATTTCTTAACCAAATTTGGCAACTCTTCACCATTTAAATTAGGTTTTGATCTTTCATTCCTCTCTCTTCCTAAGCATGGACTTTCTGGCAGAAGAACTGGTAAGGAAGAAAACTTCATTGTAACCCAGACTCAAGCTAACAAAAACTACAATAATAATAATAAATGTATAACTCTGTGAATTATAAAGTCCTACATTAAAGGATTATTAACAACTGTAGGCTCCTTTCATTATACTAGGCTTAAATACCTCTCCCCTACATCTTCCCGGCACTGCCTCTTACCCCATTTTTTTTCCCAGAAATATATCTGCTGAGACTTTCTCTTTTTCTGCTTTCAGAATTTTGTTGAAGAATATCTCTCCTGGTCAGAAGCTAAACATCTGCTATGCTTCCCAGGACAGGTCATTCTATAACCTTGACTTCATTAAGAGGAAAATCTGTCTTAGCATTTTCTTTCCCTTTTTGCCCAATATTAACATAATACTTTGAGTTTCAATTTCTAAACAGCCATACTAGTTCCACATCTTTACAATATTCCTAAAACAGAATCTTAGATAGAATTCCCATTATTAGCTTATCACAATGTATAGAAACTCGTGACGTATGTGTAAGGAATGAACATACCAATCTCTACACATCTCCAAGCATGTATGTAATTTCTTGCCCAATAAATCAACAGTCCCTTACATAGTACATAAAGTTGTGTTGTCTAATACAATAGCCACTACCCACATGTGGCTATTTAAATTAATTAAAATGATACAAAATTTAAAATTTAGGCTGGGCTCAGTGGCTGACGCCTGTAATCCCAGCACTTTGGGAGGCCGAGGCGGGTGGATCATGAGGTCAACAGATCGAGACCATCCTGGCCAACACGGTGAAACCGTGTCTTTACTAAAAACACAAAAATTAGTTGTGCATGGTGGCACGCGCCTGTAGTCCCAGCTACTCAGAAGGCTGAGGCAGAAGAATCACTTGAACCCGGGAGGTGGAGCTTGCAGTGAGCTATGATCACTGTACTCCAGCTTGGCAACCGAGCGAGATCGTGTCTCAAAAAAATAAAAAAATTTAGTTCTTTAGCTGTTCAACAACCACAAGTGGCTAGTGGCTACAATATCACATTGGACAGTATAGATATGAAACATTTCTGTTATCACAGAAAGTTTATTGGACAGCACTGATACAGGCTTATGAATAATACTGTAGTGAGAAATGGTGATTAGAAGCACAGAATACAGGTCATGGGTAACCAATGCTTCTTATAAATCCCCTAAAAACTTATCTAGGAAGTAAATTTCACTCCTGCAGCATGAGTAGCAGATTTAAAGTACATTTTGGTTTTAACATGTAATCTGGATCCTTACCAAAAATTTCTTTTTCTCACTGGCCCCTGCACATGAGCTTGTTGTTACTGTGGGGCTGTTCAGAAGGGCTGAGCTGCTGCTGTTGTGTTTTTTCTTTAAAAACAAAAAAACTGAGGTTAATAATTTGTATCCTTCACGAAACATTGTTTGACAACACCGAAGTAAATCGTGGATCCAAAGAGCCAGGATCTCTTGTTAAGATTACTTCCTAACAGTCAATCCTTTTCAGTCTTCTGCCTTCATAACCACTGGCTTCATTCTTAACAGTGCAGCAGGAGACACAGCAAAAGAGCAAGACTTCCCTCATCATGGCTTTTAGGCTCTAAGCAGAAGGATTCTTAAAAAGGAACCCTCCTTCAAGGAATTATCAGCGACCATTCTACCCCTCCTTTTCCCAGCCTGGTCCTTTTGGGCCTTCCAACTCAAGAAAGCTTCCTCTTTTAACCCACTAACTGATATTCATGCTAATAGTCCAGTCTGGAGAAAGAACAGCTAACTTGAGCAATGTTAGCAAGCACACTCTACATAGGAAGACAGGAAGGAAAGTGAGGTCATTAGGCTCACGCGTGGGGGAGGGGACTCACTTCTGGTAAAAAGCTCCTTCCAAAAGTGGTTTTGAATACAAATGAGTTCTAGCAAGGGAGAACCCACAAAGTCAAACAGAATAACATATGAAAACAGTGTTAAGAATGGGCCCTTATCTGTTTATACCTCCAGTACCTTAAGGTAACAACAATAAAAGCAGCTTTTTAAACTAATCCTTGTTTTAACATGAAACAAAAGGACTCCACTCCCCCTGGAGTCCCTAGGATTCCTAAAGGCAGGAAATACTCTGGAAGGCTCTATCTAGCAGACCACAGACAGGAAAAGTTCTAGGGCCTTATACTATCTCTAGGAACCAATTCTGAAGAATTGGTAAACAAGGTGCAAATGAAAAGAATGGAATTGAGCTGATAACAAACAGAACCACAAAGGAGAATGTCATAGACAAATTTTCATCAAACATGCCCAACATAGCCAGCTGACACAGCACTGGATACCCACTAGGTAGGAAAGCTCCCCATCATTCACTCCTCTCTGCAGGCCAAAGTACCCAAGAAACAGGTAAGTGGAACTACAGGTGAGAAGATTCTCAATGACACACAAGTTTAAATGTTAAGAAAAATAGGAAATGTATTCCTAAAGAAGAATACAACTCTTAATAAAACAAACATACACTCTCAACTACCTGGGTTAATAAGGCGAAACAACTGTAAACTGTAATAACAAAATCAATCATTATTGTCTTTGGAATATACGATGTGACATTTTAATTAATAAATTTACCTTTCTAATTATATTTTACATAAGTAATACCAAATTAATTAATTTTTCCTGATTACATACTATAAGGCAGCTAAAAACTTTCTGACTCAGGGATCATGAATCTGAATTAAATATTTGCCAATTATCAGCATCAGAAAAACATCTACGAATCTTGTCCCCATAACAGATGAAATGCTTACACAATCGAGATCATAGATCCATACCTGCATGGTATATATCACTTTTTTTTTTTTTTTTTGAGATGGCGTCTTGCTCTGTCTTGCCCAGGCTGAAGCAAAGGGCACAGTGGCGCCATCTCAGCTCACCGCAGCCTTTGCCTTTCGGGTTCAAGCAATTCTCCTGTCTCAGCCTCCTGAGTAGCTGGGACTATAGGCATGTACCACCACACCTGGCTAATTTTGTATTTTTAGTAGAGACAAGGTTTCACCATGTTGGCCATACTGGTCTCAAACTCTTGACCTCAGGTGATCCACCTGCCTCGGCCCCCCAATGTCACTTTCCATTTAACCTTAGCTGGTTGGTATGTATCACTGCACACTTAACAGACTGTGAAAGGAAGGGGTCAAAACCTTTCAACCCTGATACTGAAGTATCTTTGGCTTTTCATATATTTCCCACTTGAAAACTCCTTCCCGACAAATCTCATTTGGCTCTGCCAGGGTCACACACACCTGCCTATTTGAGTGACCCGTGTCTTTGTTCTTCATGGTCTCATATCCAGGCATCCGGTGACGTCGGTTCATCTGGAGGGCCACCAGATCGTTCATGATTGAGTTCAATGCCTCCTGTTCGTCTGCAATGAAAGAAAGCACATGGACTAAAGATACTTAAATACAGACCAGCAAAGCTCTTTCACAAACTATATGACTAATACTCAGGGAGTTCTGCCCAGGTAAAATGACAGACCCTGTTAACTATAATCACATGCAGTTGAGACCACCCAAAACGTCAGACTATGGTAATTCGAATTTTAATGGATTCTTTTTTTTCCTTTGAGACAAGATCTTACTCTGTCACTCAGGCTAGAGAGCAGAGGTGTGATCACAGCTCACTGCAGCCCTAAGCAGCCTTGAACTCTGGGGCTCAAGTGACCTTCCCATGTCAGCCTCCCAAGTAGCTGGGAACACAGGGGTGCACCATCATGCCTAGCAAATTGTTTTTTTTTTTTTGTAGAGACAGGGTCTCCCCATGTTTCCCAGGCTGGTCTCCAACTCCTCAACTTCAATGAATCTCTTGCCTTGGCCTCCCAAAGTGCTAAGATTATAACAGGTGTGAGCCACCATGCCTGGCCTTTAATGATTTCTTAATAGCCCTCCAATCAGATTTCCAGTAGCAATATTTACCAATTCACTGCAGGGAAGGGACCTATTCAAGCAGAGCAATTTGTCCAGTGCCAGAGAAACTTAACCAGGAAAAATAGATGAAAAGTTGAAGTGAAGAACAATACAGTACAATGTAATATGGTACTGAATGAAAAGATGAATCCATAGAGAGTTGATTATGGCACAGTGTCAGTCCCAGACTTATTTTTAAAGCATCATAAGGAGGCGAGCACATTTTAAAAGGTACCAAATAAAGACCTCAGGTAACTAGCTGCTTTGAACAAAAGTTGTTTTACAAGCCTAGCATTTGAATGCCGCCGCTACATTGCGGCGGCCACCAACCGCCGCCGCCGCCACCACCACCACCACCCCCTCGCCCCCCCCCCCGCAACTCTTTACAAGTTTATAGGCCTTCTACTTCCCATAGGGAAGTCAAAGGGCAGTTCTATTGTTTTTCCTCCCTAAGCTGACCAAGCAATGCATTGTCTCCATCTTACTGGCATTACTTTTAATCCCCTTTTCTTGAAATAGCATGGAGTACTAGAGTTTTCATCCATTGAAAACAACTGGCCAAAACCCAGAACACAAACCAGCCCAATTCCGTGTTTTACAAATTTTCCCCAGGTCCTTTAAGAAATCTTTGCCCATTCAAATAGCATCTGGAGATTCAAAATGCATAAATCTGTTGATCAGGAAGGGAACATGAGGGATGAGTTGTTATACTTGCTTTGGTGACATGTGAGTCATTTGGGGGATTGGGGCAAACCTTAAAAGAAGCAAATACAAAAGACTCCACCCAAAGAGAGTGCCTATCTTCTGCCCTTTATCATTGTCCCTTGGAAATATTCTAATACCCTGTGGAAAGAAACAAACAGCATGAAACGTAGGAAGTAAAACTGCTCCAGTCTCTTCTCCCACCACTAATTGACTGATTGATTGATTGAGACAGGGTTTCGCTCTATTACCAGGCTAGAATGCAGTGGTGTAATCACAGCCCACTGCAGCCTCCTCCATCCCTCAGTCTCAAACAATCCTCCCATCTCTGCCTCCAGAGTAGCTGGGACTACAGGTGCATACCACCATGCCCTGCTAATGTTTGTATTTTTTATTGAGACAGGGTTTCACCATGTTGCCCAGGCTGGTTTCAAATACCTGAGTTCCCTCGATCCTCCCTCCTTAGTCTCCCAAAATCCTGGGATTACAGGCATGAGCCACCATGCCCGCCCCCTCCCCTTATTTGCCTCTTCCCTCTTCCTAGACCAAATCTGCTCTGGTGCCCTATATGCCCTCTGACGAGTTGCAGAAAAGACAAAGGTGCCTATAAAATTTTTTCTTGTTCAGGAAAGTAAAATTAGATTTAAAACTTGCAGGAAAAACACCAGAAGTGTAACTTCCCATATGATTCCACTTCAAAATATATACAAAAGTACGTGTGAGAGTGACATAGTTGTAATATCAAAAGCATGCAGTAAAAGGGATAATGAATGAGGAGAAGGTGGGTATCTATAAAAAGACATCAGTCAAAATTAATAAATATAAATCCCATCAATTATTTTATACCTTCTAGCAATTTCCCTATAGCTTCCTTAAAGAAGGGAACTTGGCTGGGCAGGGTGGCTCATGCCTGTAATCACTGCAGTTTGGAAGGCCAAGGCAGGCGAACTGCTTGAGCCCAGGAGTTCAAGATCAGACTGGGCAACATGGCAAAACTCTGTTCTACAAAAAATACAAAAAATTAGCTGCGCATGGTGGTGTGTGCTGTAGGCTCAGCTACTTGAAAGGCCAAGGTGGAAGGATCACTTGAACCCACGAGGTTAGGGCTGCAGTGAGCCATGATCATGCCACTGTACTCCAGCCTGGGCAACAATGAGACCCTGTCCCAAAAAAAAAAGAAACGGTTTTTTGTTTTGTTTTTTACCCTCACAACCAAAGTTTAAAAATTAGAGCATAACATCTAAGCTAGGAAGATTGGCTTACATATAATATGCACAGGTTTATATATTAAATGGCTTATATATTATTAAATATATATAAAATTAATTGGGCCAACTGTAATAATAAATTGGGATCAATATAAAGAGGATTATGACTAGGTGTTTTCTAAGGAGCATCCAACAATACTCCTAAAAGCAGAATACATGGAGTTATCAGTAACATTAACCACCCTAAGAATTGAGAATTCTCAGTTCTTTCAACTCAGATATTGAACGAAGATGGATATGAATACACATACACACATAGGCACACACAAATACACACCACTTTTTGAGTCAGATCCACAAGAATGACTAGAGAAATCATTTCTAATTCTGCATAACATGATGTTATTAAAAGAGCTCGTTTGTCAAGTTGACAAATTCTGTTTCCAGGAAGCTACCAATTCCTGGCATTACTTAATGAATAAACTTGTTCGGTAGTTCCAGAGCTGAGAACATACTAGAGGAACAGTTTGGCACTGTCGTCTGAAATCTGGGACAACTGACACAAGTGAATCAGGGTTATAGAACCTAATTTTGTGTCAAAGTCAAATACATTCCTAGAGGTAGACAGATTCTTCAACTGATACTTCAGAGGACTGGTATAAAGATAGGAAGTAAATCAAGTGGCTCTTTTAGGCATTTCTTCCTGGATTGAGGCTTTGTTTTTGTTTTTATTTTCCTTCTAAAAAGCAGCTTCACTATGCACACTTGGCTGCCACAGGCCAGTTATCTCTGGTATGGACTAACTGAATTATCAGCACTCCTTCAATGTGGCATTCCTTAACAACAAACAAACAAAACTTTTAAAAACAAATAACAGGCCTGGTACAGTGGTTCCCACCTGTAATCCTAGAATTTTGGGAGGCTGAGATGGGCAGATCACTTAAGGTCAGGAGTTCAAAACCAGCCTGGCCAACATGGTGAAACTACATCTCTACTAAAAATACAAAAAAAATTAGCTAAGCATGGGCATGGGCCTGTAATCCCAGCTACTTGGGAGGCTGAGGCAGGAGAATTTCTTGAACCCAAGAGGCAGAGGTTGTTGTGAGTAGAGATCACACCACTGCATTTCAGCGTGGTGACAGAGTGAGACTCCATCTAAAACAAACAAACAAAAAAACCCCGCAAATAACAGCAGCTTTCTTAGACTGCAGCAGTTAGGAATATGAACTTCAGAGTCAGATTTTGAACTTCAAAATCTGGTAAAGAAGCCCAGAGCAAATCATTTATTCTCTCCAAACCTCAATTTCCTCATCTGTAATATGGCAATAAAGCATCATTTCACAAAGCTGCTGTGAGAGTTAAAAGCAAAACAAAACCTACGAATTATTTCTTATGGTACCTAACAGTTAGTAATGCTAAAAAAAAATGCTGGCTATTATTATCATCAATGAGAAAAGGTCAATGGAAAAAGACTGGAGGCCATTTAATCTACCCTAACACTTAATTTTATTACTGAATTTTGTAAATCATTAACAATATTCATTTACTGAATACTTATGTATTATACATTAGAAAGTTTTAAAAGATACTTCAAGGTGTTCAAACTCTAGGGTAGAAGGAGAAACAACAACACACAAATACAAAGTTGTATCAGAAAAAAGATAGAATTGGCCAGGCGCAGTGGCTCATGCCTGTAATCCCAGCACTTTGGGAGGCTGAGGCAGGAGGATCACATGAGGTCAGCAGTTCGAGACCAGCCTGACCAACATGGAAAAACGCTTTATTTACTAAAAATACAAAATTAGCTGGGCATGGTGGCACATGCCTGTAATCCCAGCTACTTGGGAGGCTGAGGCAGGAGAATTGCTTGAATCCAGTATAGGTTGCAGTGAGTTGAGATCGCACCATGGCACTCCAGCCTGGGTGACGAGCAAAACTCCATCTCAAAAAAAAAAAAAAGAAAATAAAAGCAGTTCCAGCTAGCTTATGAAATCAACTGAGAGAAAGGACATGAAGAATAAGGAATTAAGGGACTAGAGGGGAAGAACAGAGGGTCAGAGACTGATCCTCACTGACTAACACTAATGACGTAGAATGAGAAGATGGGAAGCTGGAAAGGAAGGCTTTAAGAGGATTGAAGAAAATAGGCCAGGCAAGGGGGCTCTTCTCTGTAATCCCGGCACTTTGAGAGGCCAAGGCGGGCAGATCGCCTGAGATCTGGAGTTCAGGACCAGCCTGGTCAACATGGTAAAACACCATCTCTACTAAAAATACAAAAATTAGCCAGGCGTGGTGGCACACGTCTGTAATCCCAGTGACTGTGGAGGCTGAGGCACAAGAATAGCTTGAACCCGGGAGGCAGAGGTTGCAGTGAGCTGAGACTGCGCCACTGCATTCCAGCCTGGGCGATAGAGTGAGACTCTGTCTCAAAAAAAAAAAAAAATAGGATTGAAGAAAATAAGAGGGACAGGCCGGATGCACTGGCTCACACACCTTAAGTCCAACATTCTGGGAGGCCAAAGCAGGAGTTATCACTTGATCCCAAGAGT